AGACGCAGTATTTGCCATTGCTATATAGGCAGAATATTCCAAAATAGGTCCATCATTTCTGTTAGGTGGTGGTTCCCATGAAATATGAGCACCATCTGCCGTTTTACTAATTTTTATAGCGCTAGGTGCTCCGGGGAATCCCGGAACATATGTTCTGAATGCTGATACCTTAAAATAAAGAAAAAAAATATTATATGATATTAAATGTATATTAATATTCATACTGGCAATTATTTTATTCACCTCACTCCAATCACTTTGTCCACAACTATTCACAGCAGCAATTCTAAGTTTATAAATAGTTCCCTGTTCTAAAGGAACTTTAGTTCTACCTTCAAAAACATCCATAGTTAATGGTTGTGTTATATCTAAAGGATCATCACCTGGTAAATAATAATGTTGTACAGTAAATCTCGATTCTTGTGTTACTCCTACATCATACCATTCTTCTTCTTTTTTTTCTTTTTCAGTCTGTACAACAGTTCAAATATTTTTATATTACAAATAAATATTAGTATACATATATATATACAAATATATACAAATATATACAAATAAATATTAGTATACATATATATATCATTTTAATGTAAAATATAATATCTTACCTGTTCAGGCTTCATTTTCATTGGTTGTTCTGCCGAACCTAAGGCAGCTGTAGCCAATGTAGTTAATGCTGTGGAATCATCTCCATTTTCCGTTCTTGTGCCATTCATTTGTTCTTGTTTCAGACTTTCTTTTTTAATAGATTCTTCTTTTATTTCCATTTTTACTGTAGTTATTGGTTTTTGAATATCCATTTCCTTTTCAAGAAATGTAATACCACTAATAGATGATGGTGGGATTTCTGATATTTTATCTTGTTTCATTGATTCATCAGTTTGTTCTAACTTTATTTGCATGATAGATGTTGTAATTGGAATATTAGTAGAAGTTGAACAAGAATCTGTAACCATTGGCTCATCATTATCCTCTAATGTTTCCATTGGGGTTCCCTCAGGAAGATCCATTGATTGTTCCACAGCTTCATCTTTGATTTTTTCTATGACTTGATTATCTTCTTGAGAAAATTGTGATAAACTATCTTCAGGTGACAAATGTTCAGAAGCTACTGGTTTTTCAGATTCAGAAGTATATGTATCTACTGCCATTAATTTTATATCATGATTTTCAATTTGTTCATTTTCTTCAGTTTCTGGAAGTTCCATAGCATCTGGCATAGATGCTTCCTCTGATGAAGCTTCTATTGGATCTTGCATATTAGAAATTTCAGCTTTTATTTGTGCCTCTTCAGTTGATACATTATTCATTTCTTGCATGTCACTTTCATTTACTGGTTCCGAATCATTAACAACTTCAATAGGTATTTCATTTTCATCTGGTTGAGTGTCAATAGAAGGTTCTGGATCTATTGGAATATCTTCTGGAACACTTGTGGAAACGGGAAGTTCAGATGCTCCTTCTGACAAAGTATCTGGATCTTTTATGGATGATTCTTCCATATGAACAGCTTCTGTTGTTGCAGTATCTGTATGTTGCTCCATATTTGCAGAATCTGCAACTTGTGATTCTTCTTGATTTTCTAACGCGGGATCTTCGGCTAAATCAATTTTATCGTTGTCTTCATCATCATCAGATAGAAGAAGATCTGCTGGACCATCAACTTGAGGAATTAAAAAGTTACCATCTCTATCAATTTGCATAGATTCACCAGCACCCATTTGAGAAACTAAAGCAGCTGCTGTAGTAGTTTCATCACCATTACAATTATCTTCTATTTTACCATCTCCAGCTCCACCATCATCTGCAGATACCATAAAAGATAAATCACCAGAAGGTTCTTGAACTGGATCTATCAAACCTGCCTCTGCAGCTAATGCAGCCAATGCTGCATCAGTAGTAGCAGGACCATCAGATGTAGATGCTAATGAAGCTGATGGTTGCTTTTGTGATGGAACAAATAACATTTTACTTGTATCTATTGTCTCAGATGCGCTTGAAGTTGTTACTATTGTGCTACTTGTAGGCATGAGAGTAACTGTTTTTGCACCTATTCCTCCAGACATTTGTAATGTCACAGGTTTACCAGATACTGTTACAGTCTCTGGTGTTTTTTGTATTTGTGGCATAGTAACAATCTGACTTTTTCCAGGATTAAAAATAGCTTGTGGACTTCCTTTAGTTGCAATAGTCACTGTTTTTGGAACACCTCCTTGTCCTGGAACTGTGATAGTAATAGGTTTTCCAGTAGTTCCTCCTCCCATTGCTCCAGATGAAACAACAATCATCTTTACTCCTTGTTGATTTGTTACATGATTAGTAGCTGATAATGGTAAAACATTTACAGGTGTCGTAATATTACCCGTTTGTCCACCTCCAGCTTGAGAAGTAGTAACAGCTTGTATAGTTCTTAAATTAGATCCTGTTGTAACTACTATAATTTGATTACGACCAACTAGTCCACCATTACCACCAGGTTTAGTAATCATTATTGTTTGTTTACCGCTAATATTTTGTCCTTTACTCATTGCAACGATATTAGATGTTTTCATAGTTGTGAGAATTTTGGATCCTTGTACAGTGTTAGGATTTACTAATCTCAATATTTTCGCTCCCTGATTAAGTGGTTTTGCACCTGTTGCTTGAACAGTTTTTCCTGGTATAAGACTTACTTTAGGCACAGTTGCTACCATTGCCTGTGCTGTTTTAAGAAGATGTACAATCTGTGGTTGACCAGATATATTTTGACCTGGTTTCTGTAAGATAATTTGTTTACTTTGTTGTGGTGAAGCTGTTCTCAATACTGTTGCTCCGGGTGCAGCGAAACGTATTTGTTGACCAGGTTGAACATTCTTCATTCTAATTGTATTAGCCGTAGTTTGTGGAAGGATTGGTACATTATTCATACTTATTTTTGGAGTAGCAGCAGCAGCTGCTGCTAAAGCAGCAATTCCTGACATAGCAGCTGGTGTTTGGCCTGCCACTGTAGTATTAGAAGTTGGAGTTTGTTCAGTAGCAGTGGTTGTTGTTGGTGTTGTTGTAACTAAAGGAGAACGAATTCTAATAAGATTTCCGGCAACTCTTGGTGTCATTGGACTCGATGGTTTTGTTACGCTTTGTGATGGTACTGGTTTTTGAATGGGACTTTGTACAGTTGATTGAACTCGAACTGGAGTCTGTGGAGGTACGGACGGTCTAACCGAAGTTGGAGTTTGTGGAAGCTCAGGAACAGAAGTGACAGGCGAAGATGTAGCAGAATCAGTTGCAAGAGTGACCATTGCTGATGTCGTGGTAGGTGTTGCAGTGCTTGCTGGAGTACTAACTGTAGGAAACGTTCCAGTTGTTGTTGAAGGTTTACATTTCTGTATTTGTAATATATAGTACTGTGCAGATGGTACAGGTGTCCATTGAATTTCCAATGCTTGTAAACTGGCCCTAACTAAGTTCAATTTGGATGGTGCAGATGGTTTACCGACTTCGAGATACCATAAATCTTTACAACAAACCTAAGAATGAAAAATAAATCATACTTATAAGAAATAAAAACATTTTCAAGTTAAAAATAAATTATAAGGACTAACCCTAACCTGATTGTTCCAAGCTTTGCGATATCCATCTCGACCAGACCATACATAAAGTTTATTATGCATTCCAATTGCGCAGTGTCCAGCACGAGCGCGAGGAACATTTTCTTCTAGAGTATCAACAGTTAATTGTTCCCATGTCCAAGTTTCTAAAATTATATTGTTAATTTTATTTTTGATATAATTACTTTGATGCAATATAAAATATAAAATGTATAACTTCAATTTACCTATATTTAAACAAGCCAATGTATTTGTGCATTTCCACTCCTTTTCATGTGTTGCAACCTTAACATCATCAACAACAAGTGGCACCCATCCTCCAAAAACATACATTCGATGACCAATTAAAGTAGCAGTATGAAGAGATCTCGGTAATGGAATAGGTCCATGAACTACTGGTTTATGCCATGTCATTGAATCAACATCAAGATACCATAAATCACCCAAACGACATCCACTCATACCACCATAAATTACTAAACAGGTTTTTCCTGTTTTACTATCAGTATAAGATACTCCAGTATGAGACTCTCTAGGTGGTGGTGCATGTCCATGTGTTTGTGGTACATCCCAAACTGTTCCTCCATTAGGAAGTAGTTCCAAGGTATATAGGTCATTTAAATATCTTGGTATATTATTTTTATGATCCTCACTGTCATTAGCCAATCCTCCAAAAAGAAAGACTCTATTACCAATAAGAGTAAAACTATGTCCCAATCTTGGACATGGTGGTGGATCATTTTCTGGAGGCCTGGGTCTCAATTTTTTCCATTCCCATCTAACTGCTTGAAGTTCATAAAGCTCATCTGAGTACTTTCCATACTCAACCATACCACCAAAGACTAAAATACGACTTCCATCAACAACAAAACCATATGCAGCACAGCCAGGTGGAATATCACCTTTTGTCGATGGTACAAACCATTGATTAGTTGCTGTAAAAAATAAAGTAAATAAATTAAAAGTAATTCATTGTAAAATACAATCTTCTAAAATACAATTGAAAAAAGCTTTTTTATGATAATATAATGAATAGAGAAACTTTTAATTATTATTAATATAAAAAAGATAAAAGAATAAAAAAGAATATAAAAAGAAATAAAAAATATAAAAATTCATATAATTTTTATTAATTAACAGAAATTTTAAATTATTTTATAAAATAATAAAAGATAATAAATAAAATATTAAATTTTTATCTATTGTTTACATTAATAAATTAAATTATAATGATCTTATATTTATATTTATAATTTTATTATATTTGAATATATTATATTATATTTATTATTTTTTTGTGATAAATATATGTATTTTAAGTAATATCATTAATAAAACATTTCAAATACGACTAGAAAATATTTCTTAAGTACGCATGCGTATAATTGTTGGCAACTTAGTTAAAAGAAATTCTATACACATTCATGACATGTAAAGATGTGAAAACCTAAAATGAAAGAGTGGGAGAAGAAATAGGAACGGAAGAAAAAAGAGAAGGAAGGTTGAAGCGTGAACGTGGAATGACGGGAAATGCGGCGCGTTGCAAATCGTGGTGGGGTATATAAGATAGCAATGGCCGCTCCCGTGCGTATAAACATGAAAAATGACAGATCGCATTAATTCTATACATGAAATTAGTCAAATGTTTAATAAACAAGATTTAAAAAGACATATATAATAAAGGTACATTTAACATATATGAAATATATGATAATAAATCATCAGACATAATTAAAATTCATAGTTTTCACGGTGATCCGGCCGGTGATCGTTTTGTCAATGTATGCCGCCATCTTGGATCGCGGGAATCATCAAGAACGGCGCGAAAGACGCACAGCAAGAAAGCAACTTACTCGTGTTATAGACATGAAGCTCATCAACAATGCCCTCATTTCCACCGCCGAAAACGACCATAAGGTCCTTAAGAGCAACTGCCCTATGTCCATGTCTGGGTCTTGGCTGAGGTCCGGACGGATTTGTGATTCGCTTCCACTTTAACATGGGTGCCGCCATGATGACCATCGATCACATCATTTTTTCATACCGCGCAGCTATGCACCCACCGTGTTACCCCTAGAGTAGTACAACGCCCGATGATTTCGAAGATAGTGTGCCCTTTTCTTGAAACTTCTATGTCTTCAATGTTTACAATACGACAACTTAAATAACTTCGAAGGTTCACACACCCAACGAAAATTTACTACTTCTTGATATTCTTAGCACTGTCAATATCGTATGTCTTGATTATAACCTACCTTTCACTATTGTTCTTTATTAATTAACTTAACTTAAATAATTCATATAAATATAAAGTTAGGTGAAATTTTTTCGATAAGAATCATGAAAATTCAGCACGATTTAGAAGACGTCTGTAACGTAACACGTATACACAGAACGCACACCGTGTATTTACGTTCACGATGTTTACGGCACTGGTTTTATGCCTTCTAGTGTGCTCACTCAGTATTTATCAATGATCGAACTTATATACATTTTTTTATATTCTATAATTATTATTTTAAATAAATAATAATTTTAATATTATATTTCAATTTAAATCTTTATTTTTTATAATTTTTGTAAGAATATTTGTAAAATATAAAAAAATAATAAACAATTTTATTTAAAATTTGAAAATTCTATAAATGGATAAAAAAGCATGTAATAAAAAATATCCCTATAATATATAATTTTCTAGATAATCACAATATGGAATGTAATAAAATAAAATTAGAAATTATAAAAAATATATAATAAAAAGTTACTAGTATTTAATAAAAAATATATATTATATAATTTTATAGTATATATAATATACAAATTTATAAATATTCATATTTTTGATATATTATTACAATTATCTATATTACCAACTGATATTAACTTGGGGATTTTTATAAATACCAATAAATAATATTTTTAAATTAAATTAAATTTAAATTATTTAAAGATTTTTAAATATTGGTATTAAGCTTAAGTTATAATTAGATAGAAAAGATTAGATATAAATAAATTATTATCCAATAAATTTTTTTTTAATCAACTATATATCCCTATCTTGTAGTTTTATATATATATATATATATATATATTTTATATTATTGTTATAATTTATTTCAAAGATAAAATTTATCGATTTTATTTTAACAAAAACTTTACTGTTGATAACTAATGTTTAAAAAATTTTAAGATTTCTTAAAGCTTTGTTAGTGAAAAATTATTAACAAGTTTAGCTCTCGCTAACAGTATATACTAAATTCAAAATTTAAATTTTTCAAAGAGATGGTACTATTAGTTAAATATTTAACGATGTAACAATTGTGTCACTTTATCTCGCCTCATATAATGTAAATTTAAATTATTTACAACTTAACAAATAAGCTTTAACCAACATTTTTGTATACCAATGTATTTAACCACTACAATCGATTCTTTAAATATCCCATAAATATATTAACATCTACATATAAAATAACTAAATATTGCAAATAATATTTCAATGGAGAAATATACGTATTCATTTTACATTTATTTTGATAATAAAAAAATTGCATAAGATAAAATATATGATAAAATATTAATGTTTAATTTTATTATATATTTTTAAAATATAATTTATATTTATTATATGTTTCAATATGAAATAATAATAATAATAGTATAAAAATGTTGTCTTGTATTAATGAATGAAATAATTTCAAGATTGGAATATATATATATATAGTCTTTTGTAATATTTACAATATTTACTGGAATGACATAATATCTTTTACATTTAACATAATGAAAAAATTATAAAACGACATCAACATTATTGATATATTAATACATAAAAATAGCAAAAAATTATCGTAATTGTATAGGACTTATCCTTAAACCCATACATTGCTTTCCAATTAATGCAACTTCACAAACTTTACATATTGTATCTTTAAATTGCGGTAAGTAAGTTGCGCCGCACAACGGACATTTGACTTCTGGTTTTCCTCTATAAATTGGAACATATGTACTTGCACATAATGAAAACGGATTATGTTCATCATATACTAATTGATGTTCATCTATCGGATTTTTATCACATGCCTAAAAAAAAATAATATTATATTTTAAGTTATATTTTTTAACAATGTATGCTAAAAAAAAATACATACCTGTAATATCTTTCTAACTTGTTGTGCTAATTCAGGTTTAGGACCTAATTCAAGTAATCTTCTAGCAAATGAAGCAGCAGTTTTATAATTCTTTAATTTGAAAAACATATTTACAGCTATTCTTAAAGTAAGAATTTGATGAACAGGTTGCAAATTGCAATGTGTAAAGTAGGCTGCCATTTCACAAATCCGTTTCTGTTCAGCTAAAGTAGTTTTAGGTAGATTTTTTCTTTCAGTTTCCATTTTCAAACCTAGAATATATTCTCTACAAATCTGAATCAACTGTTGTGCTTCTACAATATCTTGTCTTGTATCAACAACTAATAATGATACACTAAGTAAAATCGCTTGCAATTTTTCTATTGCTTCCGGAAATTTTCCGCCAGTTGTCAAATGATAACATATTTGAAGTCGTTGAACTAAATCTGTAAGATGTAATCCAACTGCAGGAAGACCACTTTTTGGACTTGTATCTTTCCAATTTCTTTGAGGATATCCATACAATGAAGGTATATTTGGTAACGAAGCAAACGATGTTTTAGCACGTATGAAAGTATTCATGAAAAGACTTTGATATGCTTCAAATTCAACTACGCCAATTTGATCATTTAATAATCTAAATGCTGTTTCGAACGATCCAGCTAATATATGATCTACGACTAATTGAGAATTATTCACCCAATGTTGAGTAGGTGATATTCCTTTTGTTGGCGGTGAATAATAGCCATCTTCTACCACAACTGTTGTGGTTTCAAGTTCTGGCGGTAAATCTACTTCTTCGACATCCCATCCTGCAGTATCTTCACTTTCAGGAACGTTTTCATTTTCAACACCTTCTTCATCATCTATTCCTAATTCTTCGTCATTACCCCATCCTTCGGCTGGCTCGGCATTATCATCTTCCGGAGCTAAAGCAGCAGCTACTTGACTCTTTCCACGTGACATCATTGCTCCTTCAAAGAAACCTTTTGATACTGTTAATAATGGCCAGTTATTCTCGGCTTGTTGAATTGGTACTGGAGGTCGAAGATATTCTGCTCCTTTTTCAAGAGCAGAAAGTTCTTCACTCATAGAACTATATTGAATATCGTCTTCTGGAGATGATATACCATGAATTTTTTCCGTTACATAAGCTAAAGAAGCTTGACCAGAATTCTGTAATATAAAAAAATAGAAAATTTATTATAATAAAAAAGACTTAATTCATATTCTTTTTTTTATAATTTGTTTTTAATTTTTTTAATTTGTATTCAAGTTACATGAAAACATACCCGTAATATTTTTGCACGTTCATAAATATCACCAAGTAACAAACTACCCTGATATTGCCCAGATACATCTTTTCTAATTTCTGCAATTTTTATCATTTTACGTAATTTTTCCAAATTACCAGTTATAAGATAAAGGAATGCTAATTTTTCAAAATTTTTAGTTCTTTGATAACACATTTCAACAACTTGATGATTGCCTTGCAATAAGGCTGCTTGAGCTAAACTCTCCCAACAAGATTTTTGATCAAGCGATCTTGCAGCTTCTAGAGCGACTTCGATATTTCCGCATTCGAGTGCAAGACCAAATCTAGTTTTTTCATCTTTAACGAAATGTAAAGCAACTTCGGGATATCCCTTCTGTTGCAAATATGCAATTATGGATTGGCCAACAAGATTTGCATTGCGAACCATGTGCAAAACCTCCTCATACTTTCTATTAATTAAAGCCAATTTAAATTTGTATTCAGTCGGATCTATTCGAAGAATTCTTGGTCTGCATTCTCTGTCTAAACAATAAACTTGATTGCCTTTGACTCGTGTTACATATATCGGGAGATCTAAAGTACGGATAATGCCATGATCACCATTGTTAATTGCATATTTGATATGATTACTAGTAGTATAAATAAATACTCCAGAATCGTCCCATGCTCCAGATTTTACTCTAGTATTTTCATGTACAGAACACAAGGATTCTAATCGTCGATTACAAATATTAACAGTATGTTTTGCAAGTAAAGCAACATGAGACATATCGCTAGACCAAACGACGTATCGACATTTAGAAATTTTTACTTCAGCTAATGTTCTTTTTTGCTGAACATCAAAGAGTGTTACTTGATCAGCATCGCGTAAAAGAAGCATTCCAGTGCCAGCATAAAATATTTCGTCACAGTTTGGAATTTGCACTTTTTTTGTAACTTCATTTTTTAAATTTTTGATAACCAACTGTAACAAATAATTTAAATATTATTTTTTAATTATTTTTGTTATTGTAAAGTAATTAATATTTTTCTTTATTTTTCTTAAGTACATACCGAATATGCTCTATCTAACACAGCAAAACGATTTCTTGCAACCCAGATAGCTGTGACACCCGAAGCCCGCTTTGTATCAGCATCAGTATTTGAATCACCTTCACGTGGTATTATGTAGAGATCATAAGTGCTATTTTCGACATTATTAGGTGATCTTGTACAGATTAAAACAGCATTTTCAGCTTGATTATATGACATACTATAAGGAGGTGTCTTTCCACCTCCGCGTATTTGCATAACAGATGTATCTTTTGAAGTAGTAAAATCTAATTTTCTAAGAAAACGTTCTTTTACATAATAAAGAACATTTCCATATACGGCATATGCAGGTCGTTCTCTTTCTAGTTTGAAAATAATCATTCCAGAATCATGACCAGCAGCAAAAAGATTTAAAGTAGGATGTGCAGCAAGAACCCAAAATCTTTCATGTTCTCTTCTAAATGTATGCAAGCAAGTACGTTTAGACATATCCCAAACACGAATACTTTTATCTTCTGAATTTGAAAGAATTAAGTCTTGTCTAGGATGGAATAAAACACAAGAAACATTGTTGTAATGTCCACGGCAAGTATCAACTTCCCAAGCTTTAGCATCATTCATTCGCCACATTTTAATTTGACGATCATCAGCTCCAGAAACAATCAATGGTAATGTTGGATGAAAACATGCCCAATTAACACCTCTATCATGACCTCCAAAACATGTTTTACAACAGCATCAGCTTGACCAAATAGATCTGTGGTACCAGGATTTTTTAAATGATCTTCTAATCCTCCTGGTCCAGGAGCTACATTTTTTTTTCTTAAGCCAGAAATGTCCCATACTCTAACTGTTTGATCTAAAGAAGCTGATACAATAATATCTTCAGTAAGATGAAATTGTGCACACATTACATAATGATTATGTCCAGTTAAGACACAAATACAAGTGCGACTTTGCCAGTTCCAAATACGAATAGTTTGATCATCAGATGCACTTAAAATCCATGGATATTCTTGATGAAATACAGTTGTTCTAATATAATCTAAATGACCTAATAAGGTAAAAATACATCTTCTCTGTTTGTAATTCCATACTTTAATCTTATAATCATCTCCACCAGATACAAATAATGGTTGTTGATTGTGGAAACATATTCCACGAACTGGTCCATCATGTTCATCAAATTTATCTAATAAAGTACACATACGATAATCCCATAACTGAATGACTCCATTGTGCAAACTATAACATAACACATAAATATATTTAAAAATTAAAATTTAATAATTTAAAAATAATTTATAAAAAATATCTATCATTTAAACATTACAAAAAATGTTTATATATATATATACACATTTTTGTTAAATAATAATAATTGTTATTGTTATTAAATAATAATAATTATATAATAATTATTATATTATATTAAAAATAAAATTTTTTAATATTTTATTAATTAAAATTAATATTTTATTATATTAAAAATCATAGATATTTTCATTTTTTTGTCATTATTTAATAACTTAAATTAAAAACATTTCATAATATATACAATACTGCGAATAAGAAGTTATTTTAATAACTTAAAAAATATTATAAGAAACATATATATATTATTTACCTTGCAAGAACCCACGGACGTTTTGGATGAAAAGATAATCCTTTTACACGAGCAGATTTTGTTTCAAATTTTGTCAACATTTTTTTTTATTAAATATTCAATAAAATATATTTAAAAAATCATTCCTTGTTTTTAACCCTAATAAATTCGACACGAATCAAGACACGTCACTAATCCTGCCATAAAGTATATACATTTATAGATGAAGATTAAAGTATGTTTAATGTATATTTAAATACATAGTATATAGTATTATTCTATCTTCTTTATTTAATTTTGTTTAATTCAATATTTTTTTTTAATTTTATATATAATTATATCTTTTTTTTTATTTAAATTAATTAATGAACTTTTGAATAAATTTATACTTTACTTAAATGTAATTTATATTAATGTATATAAATTTAAATTATTATATTAAGATACAATAATATTAAAGTAAAATAATAAAACAAAATAAATACATTTATACAAATTTGTAAGTTAAAGAAAACTTACAAATGTCATTTTTAGATTGGTTGAATTATTCTTAATTATGACATGCGCATGTTCATTTCTGCAAAATATTTGTTTTATCGTCTGTTACTATTAATCTAAAAAAATCCGAATAACTTTGTTTATGTATTTTAATTATTGAATATTTAATAAAATAATGATATTAAAAATATTATAAAATATAAGTCGTAGAAATTTAATATTTTCTATTTTAATAATCGTTTATCTTAAGTTTTCAAGTGAATGCTTATATTCGCTTATATCGAGAAGCTTGTAATCGGTACGTTTTTATAAAATAATGCGAAAAAATAATAATGTTATTTTCTCTTGTTTGTTAAGTTTGTTTATTTTACTTTATATGTTTATTTACGTAAAGTGTAATAAAACACCTTCAAATGAAGAATTGAAAGCTCAAAAGTTTCCATTATGCGCTGCTTGTAAAATTTTAATAAATAGTTTTAAAAAGGTGAGTTATTGAGTTATCTTGAATTAAAAAAAATAAATAGGAAATTAAAATTTTTTATATTAGTATATAAATTTAATGTTTATGTGTATTAAATAGAAACATAATGCACATAAAAATGAATTTATCATAACAGTTAATATAATTTTAAGTTATTAATTTAAGTTTTTAAATAATATTATTTAATTTTATTTTATTTTTTATTATATAGGGTATAGAAAGAACAAGTCGTGAAAAATTTGATGGTGGTGATAGTGCTTGGGAAGAAAATAAATTAGGTTCATATTCAAAAAGTGAAACTAGATTAATAGAAATACAAGAACATTTATGTAAAGAAGTAGAACGTGGTGAAACTCAATGTCATGTTTTAGCTGAAGAATTAGAGAGTAAAATTGAAGATTGGTGGTTTAATCATCAACAAATTTATCCAGATATTTATGATTATATTTGTATTCAACAGACAAAACGTTGTTGTCCAAAAGATCATTTTGGTCCACAATGTACACCGTGTCCAGGTTTTCCAGATAGAATTTGTAACAATAATGGTAAATGTAAAGGAGCAGGTACTAGGAAAGGAAATGGTGGATGTTTCTGTGATAAAGGCTATGAAGGAGATAATTGTTCTAAATGTGCAAATGGATTTTATGAATCTTACAAAGATGAAAATAAATTACTTTGTTCTCATTGTCATGCTGCTTGTGATGGATCTTGTAAAGGACCAGGACCAAAAAATTGTGAAAAATGTACAAAAGGATGGTATATATTAGATGGACAAGGTTGTTTTGATATTGATGAATGCATAAAAAATAATGAATATTGTTCTAAAAATCAATTTTGTATTAATAAGGAAGGAGGATATACATGTTTAAGTAAGTTATGAAAAATATATAGAAGTATTCAAATAAATTGATTAATTTTTTTTCTTTAATTTAGATTGTGATAAAAGCTGCAATGGTTGTACAGGTGATGGACCAGATATGTGTATAAAATGTGCAGAAGGATACCATAAAAAGGATAATTTATGTATTAGTAAGTATTGACATTAGTAAGTATGATTTATATAATCATAAAATAGATTAATTATTTTTTTAATAATTATTTAATAATTATATTTATAATATTTATAAGTTTTTATAATATATTGTGATAATAAAAAATTATTTATGTTATAGATTCTGATCTTTTGGGCCGAAAACAACAAGAAAATATTGCACGATATGCAACATATTTTGGACTTTGTATAGCTACATATATTATTTTTCAACGGAATATTTATATAGCAAGTATAATTGGCTTATTAGTTGGTATATACATATCAGCATCAGAATATATAATAGCTCATAGTAATATACAAGATACAACTGCGAATATGGACATTTTAGGAGCAATGTAAAAAATAAAGATTTTTCTTTAATAAATTGATTTAATTATTAAAAAGTATATAAAAAATGAATTTTTATTTATTAGAAATTGATATTTATATTTATGAATTAAACTTTATATAATATATATAATAAGATTCATTGTAATGATTTTTTTATAATTCAATATTTTAATTCATAAATAACAATTATCTTAAAATTATTTAATATGCAAAACAATAAATATTCCACGTCGATATTTTTATCGCTGGCGATATTTCTTCAGAATACTTGAATTACACAATTACATATAAATTATGTAATTGTATATAATAATTTATATTTCATTCTTTTAGATATATTATTAAGATTAATGTTATAATAATAATAATCCGAAAAAATAAAATATATTAAAAAAATGTGATTTATAAAATGATTTATAAAAATATATTTATAAAATGAAAGAAGTAAATATTTGTCGTATTTTAAATTTTTATTTAAATAAATTTATTTGTAATAAGAAAATTTTTTAATTTTTTTATTCATTTAAATATTTCATTTTTTTTATTTATCAATATTGTTTTTTATCATTCTTAATATAATTTTAAATTATTTTTGTCATTTAATTATATTATATTATATATATGTGTATGTATATATTTTTTCAATAATGATTCAAGTATCATTAGTGATTTTCTTGTACATGTGAGGATAAGCAAATTTACGTTTAAAAAAATACATTTAATCTTTTTAATTTGAAATCTTATAGGAATGTTTTCTGATTTGCTCCTATAGATGTCAGCAAATAGAGAGATTCAGCATCATACAAATATTCAATTATAGATTTAAATAATATTGTTTGTATCATAATATATAACTTATTTTATGGATTTAGATAACAATGATTTGTACGTATAATTCATTAAAATTCTATTTGATACAATACTCTATGTACTATATATGTACTCTATGTACTCTATGTATAGAGAATATTTTACAAAAAATTTATTTATATGATTTAATATACATAAATTTACAATTTCCTGATATATATTATATATTTCAAATATGTATCGTTATTCTTATTGGGAGAAAAGATGTAGCATCGTAGCCATCTATCGAACAAAAAGTCAATTATCAATTATATTAATAAATTATATACATACTTAAAAAAGGAAATGTTCAAAAAGAAAAGTTAT